TTAAATAAAGAATTTAACCTGAAACAAGACTGTCGCACCCCCCTGCAATGCCAGAGACCACAGTATTGGACATTTTTCCAATGATCTAGATTGAAATTAATAAAAAATTAAACATTTAATATATGAACTCATTATTTATTTTCATCATTAAATAAGAAACACACTTAGTTAAATATAATGGTTAAAAAACATTTTATTTACATGTGTTGTGCTTTTTCAATTTCTGTATTATTTTGCAAGATTCATTGATAAACAAAACCTTTTTTCCCAATCTTTTATATCTGTTGGGGGTGGACCTCCGCCTGTCTGCCGTTTGTTTTTAACCTCTCCACCTCCCTTTTTTTCGTGGAGGATAATATCCTGCCACTTTTTTTTACTTCTTTAAACGTTCGCCCACATCCTCCTATGGCATTGATACTGCAAATAAAATAGATAGATCTGTACAACAAGAATGTCATTTATATTTTCAAGGGAGAAAAAAAATGATTAAATAAAAGTTATGAGAGAAAAATTTTTTAATGAAATAGAAAGAATAAAATGTTGGATTAATCTAATCTGTGCAAAAACACTTTTTTAAAGTCTAAAAAATTTTAATTTCTAGCCCAGCCCAAACACTCGGGCGTCGGGCTAGTGGGTTTTCGTGAAGACTGGTCCCGATTTGTACATTGTTTGCGTAATGTCAATCAAATACTTAATTAGTTACCAAATTCTTGCAATATATCAAACAAATGATTTTTTTAAAGGGGAAATTGGATTTTTTTTCATAGTTTGTGGCTATTGCCTACCTGTTTTTTGGAAGTCCATGGGGGAACATCACCGCATTAAAGGAAACGAAAATTTTCCCCTTTAAAATATCTCGTTTATCTTCGACCTGTTCCACTAACAGGGCAATTTCTGCTTCATTCCAGTTCCTCTTCCGTGCAGCCGCAGGTTTTATTGTTTATATTTCGTCTGCTACTTTCACTTTTCCCGCACAGCGTACTGCGCATGAGCATGTGTCCACTACATATTCAAACTGTGAACACGAGTACATCCACAACACACAAACCTGTCTTGGTGGGCCATGCTCTGACATCATCTTTAACAGAAAATACAAGATCACTAACAATCAGACCATTGCCCGCGTGGTGCAAAAATGTCTCTCTGCTCAATGGCCCAGAGTGCCGAGCAGAGGACAAAATTTGCAGCTTTCCACCGGAAACAAGGTTGTTCGGTCGATAGAGCGCTCGCTTCGTGATTGGGGGGTTCAACTTTCAGCCATTCTGATCTAAGTCAACAAAAAATTGGTAGCAATTGGTTGGTACGATAAAAATCTCTCACTGCTCAATAGCCCTTAGTGCCGAGTAAAGGTAAAAATTTTAAAAACTTCACGATAACGATGACGTCTCCATTAGAGTGAAAAATTCTCCAATGGCACTTACAAATATATTCAATCAATACATCCAATCGGTGTTGTTTCTTAACTTCTATCACAGCCAAGATTGAGTACAAGTCACAGTATGAGGTTTTATGAGGGAGTGCCTAAAATCAATTTTTTTTAATCCACTGGGTTTGTCTGTAGCACTGACAAAACCACGGGCATTAGCAAACGGTACCACGTAAAAGCACTATCTACATTCAGACTTTACGTGACTTGAGTGCATCCACAATGCACACACCTCTCTTGGTGGGTCATGCTCCTCATACTGTATACTGGGTTATTTTCGCCCCGTCTTAATTTCGCCCTTTCACACTTGCAAACAATTTTGCCCCGTGTTAAATTCTCCCAGTCATAGTTTTGTTTCAGAAATTATACTGTATTCTTTGAATTCTCCCCGATTTAAATTCTCCCAAATGATAGTAGGGCAAAAGGGGCAACAATAAAACGAGGGCGAAAATTTCCCTGTATACAGTATTCAACTGAATATACAACATCACAAACAATTAGACAATAGAATAAACTTGCCATCTTCCAATTTGGCACTGTTGGCAAGTATACTTCAATTGGTCTTATTTCTGGCCTTCTATCACAGCCATGATTGAGTACAAGTCCCTGTCTAAAGTTTTATGAGTGAGTGGCTCAAATCAGTTTTTTAATCCACTGGGTTTATCTATACATGTAGCAAAGACAAAACCAGAGACATTAGCAACTGGTACCATGAATTAGCACTACCTATTCAGACTGTGACTTGAGTGCATCCACAATGTACATAGCTCTCTTTGTGGGCTATGCACCTCATATTCAATTGAAAATACAACATCACTAACAATCAGACAATACAATAAACTTTCTTTTCTACTTTGCTGAAATAACAACATTTTAAACAATTAGACAATAGAAAAACTTACCATCTTTCAGTTGGGTACTGCTGGCAAGTAAACTTCAATCGGTGTTGCTTCTTGGCTTCTATCACAGTCAAAATGGAGTATAAGTCTCAGTCTGAAGTTTTATGAGTGAGTGGCTCAAATCAGTTTTTTAATCCGCTGGGTTTATCTATAGCATAGACAAAACCAGGGACATTAACAACTGGTACCACGTACTAGCACTGCCTATTCAGACTGTGACTTGAGTGCATCCACAATGTGCACACCTCTCTTAGTTGGCCATGCTCCCGTTATTCAACTGAAAATACAACATCCCTAACAATCAGACAATACAATAACTGAAAATACAACATCATTTAAAATCAGACAATAGAATAAACTTAGCATCTTTCAATTGGGTACTGCTGGCAAGTATACTTCAATCGGTGTTGTTTTTTGGCTTCTATCACAGCCAAGATTGAGTACAAGTCACAGTCTCAACTTTTATGAGTGAGTGGCTCAAATCCGTTTTTTAATCCACTGGGTTTATCTATAGCATAGACAAAACCAGGGACATTAGCAACTGGTACCACATGCTCGCACTACCTACAATGTATTCAGACTATGACTTGAGTGCATCCACAATGTGCACACCTCTCTTAGTGGGCCATGCTCCCCATATTCAACTAAAAATACAACATCACTAACAGTCAGACAATACAATAAACTTACTATTCTACTCTGCTGAAAATACAACATCATTAACAATCAGACAATAGAATAAACTTATCATCTTTCAATTGGGCACTGCTGGCAAGAATACTTCAATCGGTCTTGTTTCTTGGTTTCTATCACAGCCAAGATGGAGTACAAGTCACAGTCTGAAGTTTTATGAGTGAGTGGCTCAAATCAGTTTTTAATCTACTGGGTTTATCTATAGCATAGACAAAACCACGGATATTAGCAACTGGTACCACGTACTAGCACTACCTATTCAGACTTTGACTTGAGTTCATCCACAATGTACACACCTCTCTTGGTAGGCCATGCTCCTCATATTCAACCGAAAATACAACATCACTAACAATCAGACAATACAATAAACTTACTATTCTACTCTGCTGAAAATACAACATCATTAACAATCAGACAATAGAATAAACTTACCATCTTTCAGTTGGGTACTGCTGGCAAGAATACTTCAATCGGTGTTGTTTCTTGCATTCCATCACAGCCAAGATTGAGTACAAGTCACAGTCTGAAGTTTTATGAGAGAGTGGCTCAAATCAGTTTTTTAATCCACTGGGTTTATCTATAGCATAGACAAAACCAGGGACATTAGCAACTGGTACCACATACTAGCACTACCTACAATGTATTCAGACTGTGACTTGAGTGCATCCACAATGTGCACACCTCTCTTAGTGGGCCATGCTCCCCATATTCAACTAAAAATACAACATCACTAACAGTCAGACAATACAATAAACTTACTATTCCACTCTGCTGAAAATACAACATCATTAACAATCAGACAATAGAATAAACTTACCATCTTTCATTTGGGTACTGCTGGCAAGTATACCTTAATCGGTGTTGTTTCTTGGCTTCTATCATAACCAAGATGGAGTACAAGTCACAGTCTGAAGTTTTATGAGTGAGTGGCTCAAATCAGTTATTAATCTACTGGGTTTATCTATAGCATAGACAAAACCACGGATATTAGCAACTGGTACCACGTACTAGCACTACCTATTCAGACTGTGACTTGAGTGTATCCACAATGTACACACCTCTCTTAGTGGGCCATGCTCCCCATATTCAACTGAAAATACAACATCACTAACAATCAGACAATACAATAAACTTACTATTCTACTCTGCTGAAAATACAACATCATTAACAATCAGACAATAGAATAAACTTACCATCTTTTAATTGGGTACTGCTGGCAAGTATATCTTAATCGGTGTTGTTTCTTGGCTTCTATCACAGCCAAGATGGAGTACAAGTCACAGTCTCAACTTTTATGAGTGAGTGGCTCAAATCCGTTTTTTAATCCACTAGGTTTATCTATAGCATTGACAAAACCAAGGACATTAGCAACTGGTACCACGTACTAGCACTCCCTATTCAGACTGTGATTTGAGTGCATCCACAATATGCACACCTCTCTTGGTGGGCCATGCTCCTCATATTCAACTGAAAATACATCACTAACAATCAGACAACACAATAAACTTACTATTCTACTCTGCTGAAAATACAACATCATTAACAATCAGTGTACCTCAGAAAAGAATACTTCAGTCGGTGTTGTTTTCTTGGTTTATCACAGCCGAGATTTAGTACAAGTTACATTCTGAAATTTTATGAGTAAGTGGCTCAAATCAGTTTTTAATCACTGGGTTTGTTTATAGTATAGCAAAACCAGGGACATTAGCAACTGGTACCACATACTAGCCCTACCTATTCAGACTGTTACTTGAGTGCATCTACAATGTGCACACCTCTCTTGGTGGGCCATGCTCTTCATATTCAACTGAAAATACAACATCACTAAAAATGAGACAATACAATACACTTACTATTTCACTGTGCTGAAAATAGAAAATTTCAAACAATTACACAATAGAATAAACTTACCACCTTCCAGTTGGGTACTGCTGGCAAGTATACTTCAATCGGTGTTGTTTCTTGGCTTCTATCACAGCCAAGATGGAGTACAAGTCACAGTCTGAACTTTTTATGAGTGAGTGGCTCAAATCAGTTTTTTAATCCACTGGGTTTGTCTATACCATAGACAAAACCAGGGACATTAGCGACTGTTACCACGTACTAGCACTATCTATTCAGACTGTGACTTGAGTGCATCCAGAATACGCATACCTGTCTTAGTGGGCCATGCTTCCCATATTCAACTGAAAATACAATATCACTAACAATCACACAATACAATACACTTACTATGCTATTCTGCTGAAAATACAACAATTCAAAAAATCAGACAATAGTATAAACCTACCATCTTTCAGATGGGTACTGCTGGCAAATATACTTCAATCGGTGTTGTTTCTTGCCTTCTATCACAGCCAACATGAAGTACAAGTCAAAGGCTGAAGATTTATGAGAGAGTGGCTCAAATCAGTTTTTTTAATCCACTGGGTTTGTCTACAGCATAGACAAAACCAGGGACATTAGCAACTGGTACCACGTACTAGCACTACGTATTCAGACTCTGATTTGAGTGCATCCACAATGTGCACACCTATCTTGGTGGGCCATGCTCCTCTTGGTTACAGACTACTAATTTTACCCCTATTTCATTGACCACTCAAGTAGTTCCAGTTTAAAAATAGAGGTTTTTTCTTAAAAATTCTTTGGGGTGTTTATGGGGTGGACTGATGTTATTTCTGGGTTTAGATGGAAAGGAGAGGGTTTGAAAAAAAATAAAAAATTGTTAATATGTGAAATTTTGCACTTGCGCGCGTAGTAGGAAGGGTGTAAAGAGGCCCATATTTACCCTATCCCCGAAGAGAAAGTGAAAAAAGCAGGGTAGGGGTTATTTGCGATGCCTTAGCAGGAACTGCATGCGATGAATTTTCCTGAGAGTCTGAAAAATTTTTGGACTTGAATTCTTCTTACTCTGTGCCAAGTTTCAGGTAAGTTGAGCTGGTGTAATTTTTTTAATCATTTTTTATAGTATAAAGGAATGTATAGCAAAATAATTGGTAGTCTGTGTCCTATGAGGTCAAAGGTCAAATCTCACGTTAATCAATTTATTGGCACTTTTTGGATAATTTGGAACTAATTATGCAAATTGTTGACAAATTTTATGGAAAAAATTGTATTTTGGAGAAGTTAAATGGATTTAAATAATTGAAAAGGGGGAGGGGGACTCCAGCTTGTCAAAGGTATGACGTAATGTGTGAAATTTATGTTGTCAAAAATTTATGCAATATGAATTTTATTCTTTTAATTTTAGGGGCATAAAACCCCTTCCTCACCTATCCTGCTATTTTAAATGCCAAATGG